TTTTATTTTTTACTTGAGGTGAATGAAGATCAGTAGTTAGCATAATAATTGAAAAACCCAATACATATGCAGTATCCGCGCTTGTAAATAATCCATTACTAAAAATATTAAAAAAAAAGATGATTAAGCATTGTAAATAATATGGAAAGTTAATATGGATACTTACTTTGGATTACACTCACAATATCTGCTAGCAAACTTTTCCATTAAGCGATCAATCTTCTGGGCTTCACCAGGCAATCGGAAACCCTCGAGAAAATATCTGAGGGCTGTAACTAAATCGCGATCGGCAAAATTCATTTGATCAATATAACTATACATTACCTGATTATGATTATGATCGCCAAGAAAGTCGCCGATCGCAGTCTTATCAAGACGTTCATCCATATGAAGCCAACGAGCAACATCTTCAGGTAAATTACCTAAGAGACCTTGTTCTTGAAGATATTGTACTCCTTTACTTGGCTTTCGATTAAAACTAAAATAAAAATATTAATTTAATTAATAAAATATATGCCTTTTGTCTTCTTCCTATAATATCTATATTCATATGAAAATTATAATATTTAAAATTATAATGATTTAAAATATTAAGTAATTTTATTATAATTTAATAATAATTAATTAATAAATTAATAAATAAATTAATAAATAAAAAAATGTCGAAAAAATAAAAAATTAATTGTAATCCATACATGTCAATTCCAGTCTCCCAGACTTCTTTTTGTTGTTTTTGCACTTCATATTGCTCAGGAGAATCTGGGATCTCTTTATTACCTACTAAACTAGAATTTGCTGAAGAGAGACTGCCAGCACTTCCATAACGAGGAAGTGGAGGTTCTACTGGAGGATCAGGAGGCTCAGATGGAAATTGTTGATCAGCTGGAACACTAGGATTCACATACAAATCTCTGCTCCATTCAACCATACATTTTAAAATTGATACCAAACATTCAAGACCCCTAATCCGCATTGATTTTTCCTGATTAGGTGAAGCACCTAATTCTAGAGCTTGTCTACCCTGTGCAATCTTTGATAAATCATTCACAAGTCTATAATAATGAATAAAAAAAAAAATAATAATAATAAATGCAATTTAATTATTTAATGAAATTATGGATACTTTTTTACAAACCTTTCAAATAGATTCGCAGCTGACAGATCGCAATCGTAGTTTACATATATATCTACAACACTCTGTGCGTCCGCACAAATGCGAGTCAAAGCATGAATTACCATCCATTTGTGTTCAAAGGAACTACTAGAAGTCTCGAGAATGTTCATGAAAATTTCTTTAAAAAAAACTTCTATCTGCATCTTTAAGTGCACTTTGAAACGAGCCAGTAGTGCAAGGAACAATGCCAGAGATAACTCAAATACTTCAGGAACAGAAGAGACACCGTTTTTCGACAATGCCACACAGAGATATTGTTTTATGGCTATAACAAACATTTCATTAGAACGCAATACTGGCCCAGCATTTTGCAGTATACCAAGAAGTAATTGCAAAGAAAGAATCTTTGATCTTAATTGATGAGACCTAGAAACAATATATTATAAAAAATATATTTTAAAAAAAAATTATTAGTTCTCGAAAATACTTTTCTATACTAATACTAAAATACCCTGTTAATTAAAATATTTTTCATACTTGGGATCTGGAGTGCCATCAGGAAGTGGTTTCATTGAAAGTTTGCAAAGTGCTCTAAAAACCAAGAAAGCATCTTTTTGCAATACATGCGTGAATTTTGCTCTAACCATATTGTCATTCTCTGCAACAGTTTCATCAGAATTTTCGTCTATAGGCACTTGATCTAAACTGGCTTCTTCTGATGTTATTATAGTTGTATTTGTTGAATCTTCAGGAATAATAGAGTTTACAACATCTTCCAAAATTCCTCGAACTATCAATTGTGGTTCTTGATTATTCTCCATTGATGATTCTTCATGATTCACTACTTCAGTTTCGATATCACCACCGGAATTACAATTAGTAGAATTCATGTTGCTTGTTTCAGATTCTACCTCAGTTCGAACTATCTCTTCCTCCTATAATATATAAAAATCAAAATTGTTTTTATGAAAATTTAAATAGTTTTATATATTAATTAATTGATAAACTTACTGCCTGCGTCTCCATACGTGCAAAAATAACATTAATCATCTGAGTGAGTGTAGCTCGAGCAGTAGTTTGATTTACTAGGTTCCTCGAAGCCAAATAAACACTGTACACTGTACGTATAGTAAGCAAAACAGTACCTTCATGAACTTCTACATGTTGACTGGTCATTACTGTAAGAAGAGCTTTTATAATCTGCAATTGAACTCCTTCATCTGTTTGTGGCCCCATAAAACATCCGCATATTGTCTCAACAATGCGAACAATCAATAATTTATTTGGCTCTGTAGAATCAGGTATATTTCCTGTAAGATGTCCATATGCAATTAATTTTTGCAAACAATCTAGAGCAGTAACCACAATTCTTGGTGACTTGCTCTGACAAGCCAATTCAAATGGCAGAAAATACTTTTCTGCAGAAATAACATATGAATCACTGCGTGGTTGTGGCAAAGCAGTTGAGACTTGAGTATTAGAGCCTTCTTTGATCTCATTTCGTAAGTTATCTGAAAAATAAAATAATTTAAAAATCTTAAATCTTTTAAATATACTTTACAAAATTTAATTCTATGTTATTTAAATAATTTTAATAATAATAAATAAATAAAAATAAACAGAAAAAAATATATATATTATGACATACATATGCATCAAATATTAAAGTATTAAAGTTTAAGAACATTGATATGAATATGAACATGAATATAATTATATATTATTCAAAATTATATATATATATATATATAGTTTTATCTTAAATGTCAAACTAACAAAAAGCTGATGTAATATATATTAATATATATTGAATTAATCTAATTTATATCTTTCATGAAGACTAAAAAATGCAATTCTATTTAATTTTTAATATCTAAATATTAATTTAATAATTTCAAATCTATTATTTATTAAAATATATAAAGTTATAATATTATATTAAAATGTATGATGAATAAAAATATAAAACTATTTATTAATATAAATTATAAAATATACATAATATTATTATTTATATATAATAATATATTATAATTTTGAATTTAATAATATACTTATATGCAAATAAAATTTTACAATGTATTTCATAATTTTCATTTTATTTGCATAAATCTCAAAAAATTCTTTCAATTATATATATTATTATATAATATTATAGAGAATTTTTACAATTAATGTATTTACCAAGTGCAGTTTCACAGGATTTTCTAAGTTGAGAAAGGTGCGACCGTTTGACATCCCGGTCAGCCAGGATCTTTTCCAAAGCTCTGATAATGAACATTTCTTTAGAGTTATCTCGCATCGTCGCCGAGCCGTGCTGATTCCGCTGCTAGGCTGCCACGGGAGCACACGCGACTCGACGAGAGTCTCGCATCTTTACCACTGTAATTTATGTACCGGTTCCTCGTACATTGTCTTGCACTATCTTTTGAAGACAGAAGTTGTCTGCGGAGATTGGCAACTTCTGCGACACTGTCGATGAAATGTGGATCGATCAGGAGCTTTGAGAACGACAAACGAGAGAGACAATAATACTTCAAACTAATCTCGTCATAGAACGATGTCTCAAATCATTTTTCTATGAAATGTTATAAAATGATGATGAAATTTCAAAAAAATGACAGCAAACTTTCGAAACAACAGAGAAATCACACAGGACAGACTAAACGACGAAGGAGAATCATGTGGCGCCCTCAATTTGCTAGTTATTTATGATGAAATCCCTAGGATTTAGGAATCCTTAGATCAGTATCGTATACGTTTCAAACTTTCATATAATTTCTTAATATTTTCTCTTTTTTTAAAATTTCGAATTATTATTTATGCTTTTTTTAATTAAAAATACATTTTTTTAATAGTGATTATTTTAAAATAATTTTTATTATTTTAAAATAATTAAAAAAAAATTTATAACAGATAAAATATTATGAACATTATCTTTTATAAATGATACTAAATAGCGAAAAAATTAAATCTCTATATTTTAAAATAATTCATAATTTTAACTTTGTTATTGATTTATTAAAACATTTATAATAAAAAAAACTTCTTTAAAACTTAATTGACTTTTTTTTTTAGCAAGAATAATTTTGTAGCAATTACAATAGATATTTAATTGTATTCATCAAATGTACAACTCTATACATTTATCTACAAAAAACTAAAAAAATAATTATATTAAATATGTAATATTCAAATTATAAATAATCAAATAATTAATAAATCATATTAATATTTATAAGCATAAAAAGACTTCATTTTTGTTTAATTATCCATTATACATTTTACTTTTTTTTATATATTTAACAAATTCTAATTAATATAAATTAGCTAAATAATCGAATATTTAAATAAATAAATAAATTTTCAAATAAATGATTGAAAATAATTAATAATTTCTAGATATATTACATAAATTTCGAATTAAATGATTAAATATTTTAAATATAGAAATATTTAAAACATTAGATCAATGATTACTGATAAAAACAACATTTTTATTAAATCAATAATAAAAACAAAAATTCTAAAACTATTTAGGTTATTAACATTTAGATAATTAACTTAATTTTCACATAGAAACCAAAAGAAAAGTTTATTTTAATTTAAATATGAAAAATTTTCATACTTTATAATTTTTATTAAATTATTTATATTGAATATAATTTTTATTTTGAAAAAAAATTTTGTAAATAAATTACTAATGAAATATTTTATATACTTACTTAATTATAAAAGATGATACATGTTTATCATGCGGTTTGAAACGCGTATTAAATTAAAATGACTATATATATTATATATATATATGTATATAATGTGACGTTACAACTCATCAACCAATAAAACTTCGTTTTCTAATTGAAGAATAAAAGAGAAATCTTAATCTTACAGTATTTGATAGATTCTTCCAAACAGAAATATCGATGCATTATTTTAGAATCGCGTCATAAGATTTAGAAACCATTACGAATATTAATTGTCAAAAATCATTATATCAATGTTAATTATTTAATTAAATTGATTGTATGAATTGCTAATAAAAGCAATTAATTTAATTATTAAATAATGGAAAAACAACCGTTAAATCCAAAAGATGATAAACCTCCGTCTTATTCGGCGGCAACTGCACCAAAAGGTAAGTGATAAAGTTCTAATATTATTGTTTTATATTTTTTTGCATTTAAAAATTACTTTTAATTAATATTTAATTTAATTATATTTAAGTTATAAATGTTTGAATTAGGAATAATTTCGTAATAATTTTTATTTCCTATATTTATTATTGATTATTATAAAAAATGTTTATGAAATTTTTAAAATATGATTAATAAAATTCTTTTAAAATTAACACTATTAAAATTTTGAAAAGTAATTAAAAAATACTAAATATAAGTCTATGCTATTAACATTATATATGAAATATTGTGAAATATTTTAAGTAAAATTATAAAAAATTAGTTACATTTAATTTCTATTATTAATTTTATTTTAAATAAATAATTTTTTATTTATTGTATTATGATTTATTTTTTATATTTCAAATAAATTATCTAAATTGATTAGATAATGATATCTAAAAAAATAAATTAATTTTCAATATATTTTATTGTACAATTAATAATAAGAAATGATCTTTTATTTTATAAAGAAATTATTATTTTTTAAAACTATTTTTAAAAACATTAAAAATTAATATGGAATATATTTTGCACAGTAAATTGTTCATGGCAACCATCACCAGATTACAATTCCACACAATGTCAAGAATCTACTTCATGGCCTCCACCTCCAGGATATTATCCTAGTGTCAGTGAAACTAATAGTCACAATTATGTACCTTCTTATGGTTCTACACAATCAACCACAATAATTATGCCAGAAATTATTTTTGTTGGAAGATGTCCTGCATGTAGAGTGAGATTTCTTAATTTTTAATTCTTTAAAATAAGTAAATTTTTCTTTCTTTTATATTTTTTATTATTTATATAATATTATTATATTATATTTATTATATTATATTTATTATATTTACATTTATTATATTATATATTAACATTATTTATATATTTTTTTATTTAAATTTTTAATTATAATATATTTTTATTTTTATAAACTTCAAAATCTGAATTTAAAAAAATCTCTAAAAATCTAAAAAAAAATGATTAAACTCAAATTTTAACTTAAAACATAGGTGGGCATTATGGAAGATGATTTTACATGTCTTGGACTACTATGTGCTATTCTATTCTTCCCAGTGGGCATAATTTGTTGCTTATTGTTAAAGACACGACGTTGTTCTAATTGTGGTGCATATTTTGGTTAATGTGTTACTATTTTACAGTAACCATTTCTGAAACTAAATATATTATTAATCTAATTTTAATATAATTATGTAGCTAATATAATTATATGATATTGAAAGATAAGAACATAAGCAATTAATTTTTTACTAATATTATATAATTATAATTATCTATATTGCATTATTTGAGGAAAAATAATGCTTCAATGATCAGGAATATATACAATAATTAGTTAAATAGAAGTTCATGAAATATTGACATATATACAATTAAAAGATTCTCTATACATTTAAGACTTTATTGATTTAAATGACATTTGTCGTGTTTTGTAAATTATACATAAAAAGTTCCAATTAATAATGTTATATATTATTATAGTATATTTTATAATGATGAATGATGAAATAGTTTATGTTAATATATAAATATGTTATAGTTTGTAAGAATTCTTATTAAGTGAGAAAAGGAACAATATAAACTAGATGGATTGAACTTTATATTTATAGTATATTTGTAATGATACAAATATACAAATATACATCTAAAACAAATTTCATTGAAATTTTTCTGTACTTACATAAAACTTACATTTAAAGCATTTTGAATTATTTTTTAAAATAATTTATTTAAAATAACTTATATATAACATATTTTATAAAAAATAAATTCAATGAAATTTGTGCTTTTTATTTTTATTACTTATTAATTATTTATGTTATTGTCTTATAATGACATTTCTTGATATATATATGCACTAATTGAATTTTTAAAATACATTTAACATTTGTTAAATGCTAAAATATTTGAATCTCAAAGGAAATGTCAATAGATTTTTTTTTCTATATAATTTTTTTTCTATATAATTAATTTTGTAATGTATGTGATTGTTATAGAACTTATTTAATCACTTATATTATCACATTAATCATTCAATTATATTTTTATAAAATGGAACTATATTTAAAAATGTATTCAAATTATTCTAATATTTAAAAGAAATATTTTTATTTATCATTGAAGAAATTTTTGAGGAAAAAAAAATAAAAATATTTAGAAAGTTTTCTTAATATATACTTTTTTGTGACATTAGAAATAGTAAAACACTGAGTACTGAAAATACCAGATATTTTTCAAATTTTGCAAGCTATTAATAATTTTGCAAACAAAAATCTACAAATATATATATATAAAAAATAAATTTGTTATTAAAATTGTTATCAATTTCTAGAAAATTTTTAGAACTACTAAAAATTTTTTCAATGAAAAATTAACAATGATAAAAGTAGTAGTAAAGATAAAAAACAATAAAACTATAAAGATAAAAAAAGAAAATCACAGAAAATGAAAAAAATTTTTTAAATTTTAAATTCATGTGAATATTATGTAACTTAAATGGAACATATTTATATAAAAAAATATTAATATATTAATATTTGTTAAATAATATAATTATTTAATAAATTCCCTCCTATGAAATTTCTTTTTTCATTGAATATTCAAATTTCAAATTCAATATTCAATATTCAAATTCAAATTTCAGATAATATTATTCATGATTTATAAAGAATTAATTTATGATTGAAATACATTTATTGATTATATTATTGATATATTATTGATTAGCACTAGTAATTCAAGAAAGTCATTAATATACTTGACACCATGCATGCAATATGTGAATGATACATTCATATTTTCACAATCTTCAGTATTCATTTATGCATATATGGATGGAGTATTTTTTTCCACAAGTCTATCATTATCAATCATATTATGAGATATTTATAATACTTAAGAAAAATTAAATAACATAATAATGCATATGAAATTTTCTTTATAATTAATAAATTAGAAAATCTAATAAAATATAAATATATTTTGTAAAACCGATTTCTTTTCATCTAATTTTATTACTAATATTATATAGTATAATATTATTTATATTAAATATTAATTTATGTATTTTTATTTATAATTATATATTTTTTTTAATTAATTAAAGGAACAGAAATAATTTAATAGAAAATGTAAGGAAAAATATACTAGGAATGAAAATAAAAATTAATATCTAAAAAACTTGAATATTCAATATATTTCTTTCATAAATATAAATTAAAATTTTAAAATTAAAATTTAAAATTAAAATCCAAACATAATATTGTATATCGAGTTAAATTAAACGTTTCAACGTAATATCAAATTGTTGATTTTTTTACAATTAGTAAATCAATATAATTTTATCATATCAGAAAAGACAGAAATATAAAACGGAAGATAATTTCCCAATTCATAAGAATCTGTCGCAATATTAGATTAGAAAAAGAGAGAAGAAAAGAAAACCAGTCTTGCGAATCTCGGTGAAACAAATGTAGCCGAAGGTAGTTAACACGCAACAATCTTGTCCTTGGCTTGTAGACATTAAGTATAAAGGAAACGACCATTACGGGAGCAGATTGAAGAAAACTTTGATGTGCAATCATGCCCGCGAACGAAGAAATTTTAAACATGACTTCGGATCAAATAAGAAACAATTTATTCGGAAAAGCTTGCGATGATAGTATGCAGAACAATTTTGATTGTGAATCTTCTGATGATGATAAAGAGGATTATCAAAATGATTGCTCACAGTCTATTGTCAAAAAAAATTTTAAAGAAATTTGTAATTACAAAAGTCTTCCAGTACGAGAAATCCATAAGAAATTCATGAAAAGCTTCGTTAATTTACTTCTGGAAGAAGCAGTTTTTGAGGTAAGTTCATCGTTGAAATTAATTATTGCAGAAATATGATTATTACAAAAAAATGACTTGTTATTAGAATGAACAATATCTGATTTGTTATTCTTAGTTCTGAATTAAGACTTAGTGATAATATTGAGTAATTATATAATAAAAAATATTTAAAATAAAGAAAATTATTTGATTAATTCTCATTTTTTGCTATAAATTCTAAATATTATTGATATTTGTTATAAATATTTTTTATTCATAAATATCTAATCAATTATATGTTATAAATATATATTAAAATAAAGTTTAAAACTTAAAAAATAAAGTTATTTTATGATGATTCTTTAAGTTAAAAATCATTGATATTCAATTGTGATAATATCAATTTATTGACTATCTATTGATTAAAAAATAAATTTCATTTTTCATATAAATATAATGCAATTTTTTCTTTACTTCCAATTAATAATATGCAATTATTCATATTAATTTTCAATTTTTATAATAATACAATAGAATATTAATGAATTTTGATAATATTTTTGTTATTATTATTAAGTAAAAGTTCTTGTTCGTCAAAATAAAAAAATATGGTTTTCAATATAATTTATATATATATGAGTGTTTCCAATCACTCTTTTTTTTATTTTAAAGCCATTCACTTTAAAGTATTCAATTATACATATAAACTTCAAATACATTACTATCATAAAAATTTATTTTCTTTATTTTGTCCTTCTATTTTCATAAATTACATTTATATTTCGTAAAAATATAATTTTCTTTCATTATTTGATTTTTAAAATTAACCAGAGGCATTTAATTTATGTATTCATTATTGAAACAAACATTCATTATTCTTATTTTAGAGAATTTAAAAATAAGTTAAATATTGTGAAGGCAAAAAAATTTCTTTCAGATTTATTTAATTGATATTGATATAATTATCTAATTTAATTTAAAAAAAATCACTTTAAATAAGTATTATAAAATTTAATTTCTTTATTCCTGTCATTCAATATGACTCAATTGTTCGTTATGCGAGTTTTTTTTGCGCTCATTCACGATTCGTTGTTCAATTCATGGACAAAGAATTACGTTGCAAATAGCATTTATATTACTATTGCAAGACGAAATATTTATGTAATTTCTATGCTAATATATTAAAATATTTAATAGTTAACTTGTAATTTACATAATATCAGCTTAAATAATTATTTGACATTTCTTACAAATCTATTAGATTCTGAAAAATATTTGAATATTAAAACATTTTTTTTCTTTTTTTCTTTTTCATAAATAATTAATTGTAATTATCTTTCAATGAATGTTAAAAAAAATAACAACAGTAAATAGAAATTAAGATTTTGGATAATATAGATTTTTAAAATTTCTATTTTTTTAACTTTAACTTAATTTTTTTCTTCCATATTATTAATTCTAAATTCATCTATAATTAATTCATCTAAAATAAACCTAAAAATATATTGTATAATATATTGTATATTATTTAAATTCGAAAGGGAAAAGATGATGATATTATTATGTATATTATATTATTATTTAAAAATATTAAATAAGATATTTCTTGCATCATACAATAAAATTACCTTTCAGGGCACTTTAAGAAGAAATAGAGTAGTAGAGTGGATAGAACCAACAACACTCCATTCAATAATTGATTTAAAATTATCCGACCAGGGATGCTCTTACGAGACACTTTTGACTCTTGCTCACAATGTGATTAAGTATAGTGTAAAAACAGGTCATCCTCGATTTATAAATCAATTATACTCCAGTGTAGATCCTTATGGTCTTCTTGGACAATGGCTAACCGATGCCTTGAATCCGTCAGTTTATACTTATGAAGTTTCTCCAGTCTTCTCTTTGATGGAAGAGGAAATATTGCGAGAGATGAGAAAAATAGTTGGTTGGAAGGATGATAGAAGTGAAGGAATATTCTGTCCTGGTGGTTCTATCGCTAACGGATATGCAATTAATCTGGCACGCTATTACAAGTACTTTATAACTTTTGAAAATTTATTCTATCAATTAATTCATAAAATTTTAAGTTTTTATGTAATAAAATGTAATGTAATATGTTTATAGATTTCCTCGATTAAAAGAGCTAGGCTTATTCAATACTGGTAGATTAATAATTTTCACATCCAGAGATGCTCATTATTCTGTGAAGAAACTTAGTGCATTTTTAGGAATAGGTACTGAAAATGTCTATGAAGTGAAAACTGATGATAAAGGAAAGATGTGCGTAACAGATTTGAAAATACAGATCAAAAAAGCTCTTGAAGAAGACGCAATACCTTTGATGGTCTCTGCTACAGCAGGAACTACAGTTTTAGGTGCCTTTGATCCTTTAAAAAATATAGCTGCCATTTGTAAGAACTACAATCTTTGGTTCCATGTAGATGCAGCTTGGGGAGGAGGGGCTTTGATATCTAAAAAATATAAATATCTTTTGGATGGTATTGAATTAGCAGATTCTGTTACTTGGAATCCACATAAGTTATTGGCCGCTCCGCAACAATGTTCAACACTATTGCTGCGTCATGAGGGTCTT